AACTATTTGCGATTTTTTTTATATCTTACATCCAAGGAGTTTAAAAGAGAACATTTATAAATTGATACTGACCATAAATGAAATGAATTGTCTTTGCTATTATTATTTTACCTACACGGAATTATCCATAGCTAAATAATTCCACATAGTCTTGTAGTAGGATTAGGTAGGGTAGTAGTAACCATATGGAAATATACACTTTCCTTTTTACTATGAGAATGATAAAGAAAATTCTCTCTCTTTCTCTCTTTCTCTCTCTCTCTCTCACACACACACACACACACACACACACACACACACACACACACACATACTTCCTTTCCTTCCTTCTATTGTTCCTATCCTCGTTAACTGACAGAACCCGGCCATAGACAACACGTCCAGCAAAAAATCAAACGGAAAACATGGATGTATCAGGCCCAATAAAAAGAAGAAATAACCACGTGCGCAGCAGAAGCAGAAGGAGAAGTGGGAAACTTGGTTTGATGTAGCAGTTCGTGATGCAGGGGTTGGAGATTCATCAGATGTGAGTTTGACTGGATGTACAACTCCAAAAGAAAATGAAGAAGAAAGGATGAATTCAATAAATTAATTTCTGTCAGCCAAAAACACAACGACCCTGTATGAACTCTCAAATCATGAAAGGACTAAGACAATACTCACCAACTTTAACCACTGGAAGCAAATGGAGTCAACAATAAAATGCTACTATAGACAGTAAATTTAGCCTTTACTTAATGTATTAACTTAACCTTCATCTCTATGTACCATACTGGTGAACCCCGACATTGAAAAGAATACCCTCCACAAAAAGAGCTACATACTAGTAACTCCGACGAACTCCCTTCAAGAAAAAAAAAAGACGTGACTGACCACGTGACAAAAGCATAACTCTGCGTAAGTTACCGTTTTCTCCTCTTTCGTTTCCTCTATCTTCTTGTATATTTCCGTACGGTTGTATAAAAACAATTTATAAAAATGGAGGTGCAGCAAGTTAGTGTCAATTTATGGAGACCAGTGTCGCCGGTTGGTTCACTATAATTGAATCATAATTTCATTTGTGATAAGTGACCACTGACTAGTGACCACCGACGATACAAAATTTTACACTGTAATTAGTGCCTTGTGCCTTCCGATGTCGTTCCAAACATTCCGTTTTAGAATCAAGAAATTATACGAAGCTCAAAGAATCAGTTGTGAGTGCTTATGAAAACACCAGGCCAGAGCTGTTAGAGAAATCAATGAAGACCACAACAATAACTGGTCGTCCATCTTTATATTTACAGGGGATGTCGGCCATTACAAGTAGGATTGGGGCAAGTGACAAAATAGTACGCCAAAAATTCATTAAAGCCCTTCCACCACAAATTGCCCCGGTTATAGCAGCGCACATAGAAATGCCTTTAACAGACATAGGTAGGTTATGTGATAACTTGATGCCACTAATTCAAAATGCATCAAGCTATAGAGCCTGAAGACAAACAATATAAGAACAACACAATTCCAGTAGGATTGTTTCCTTTTTCAGCAAAACAAAGACCGAAAGTCTGCAGAACTCATTTGTACTTTGCAGACGAGGCTCGTACATGCATGGCGAAAATGGCTGCATTAGAGAAAGAATAATGTACGAATGTTACCAAACTCTCGACCTTCATCCCCTACCCATAGTGATTCGGAAAACTAATAAGGCGGCCCACGTTAGCTTCCCCAGGTTCGCCACTACTAACACTAGCAGCTAGAATAGGAGCTATAAAAATAGATTTTTATAGTAGATACAGGCTCTAGTGTTTCCATCTTGCCTCGTTCAGCTGTTGTTGGTGTACTTTTAGAGCCGACACCAGTTCACCTTTCATCTGCTGGTGTTGACCGTATTACATGCTATGGCCAAGCTAATTTGGAAATAAGAATACCTTTATTAAGGCGTGCTTATCAATGGACTTTTGTAATTGCTGACGTTTTGAAACAATTCCAATTAGTCGTAAACTGTAAAAATAAATGCATTAGCGATAGCATAACACAGAGAAAGGTGGCAGTAAAAACAATAATAGGAACCGTAGATAATGTAATAGGGAAAGGCATGGATATGAACACATATATTAGTGAAATCATAGGCAAATATAAAATAACAAATAGATAAAAATAAAACAAATGGTGAATAGACATTGAAAGCCACTTACTAGTTTTTGCCAAGGCACAACTTTATGGACCTAAATTAGACGCTGCCCAAGAGGAATTTAAAAAGTTACTAAGTACAGGCGCAATTAGACCCTCAAATAGTGAATTTGCTTCTCCATTACATTTAGTACAAAAACCAGATGGTAGTAATAGGTGGTTCCAAGAACATCTGAGATGACTATGGACATGGAGGAGAAACTAAAAGTCAAATTGATTATATAACTATTAACAAAAGATTCAAGGATGCAATGATTCACTGCAAAACCTACCCAAGTGCCAACTGCAGAAGCGATCATCGCCCTGTTATATGCAAAATAAGAGTGAAACTGTGGAAATTCAAGAAGCCTAACGCAGCACCCAAACTGCAATACAAGCTCCAGAGCGACTCAAACCTAAAAGAAAAACATATGGACAATGTGAAAAGAAGATACGAGTCACACAATGGAAACTAGAAATGGTACGCACTAAGAGACACTTTAGTGACATCAGTAAACGATATCATCCCAAAGGAGAATGGACGAAGAAGGAAAAACAATTGGATGACTGACAAGATTCTCGACATGATGGAAAGAAGCAGAAAACTCTGCCAAGTTACGGGATGGGGCACAGAAAATTACACAATGAAATAAGGACCAAATGCAGGCAAGCTAAAAAAGAATGGCTAAACGAAAAATGTGCAGAAATAGAAAGGTTGAGTACTACCTACAAATAAGGTAACTAACAGGCAAATACAATAAAAAGAAACACGTGTTAACCAGTAAATAAAAGATCAGATACCCCTCAATTTTTCTTTCTTCAATATTCGTGGCATTCGTTCCAATTTCTGTAGTGTATAGGTCTTTACTCTTGAAATGTTATCCAGATATCTTTGTGAAACGAATTGAATTTTTATATCGCTACTAATGAATTCTTTGTTCCCGTCTACCTTCCTCTTTGTCATTTATCACTCACCTTTTTCTCAGGACTGCAACATATTAGATAAAATATCTGATAATATAGAAATGGCTTTCTCTCTACACTCATCTGCGAACATTGTTGCGTTTGGTGATCTTAATGTTGGTCGCATAAAGAGGCTTAAGCATTTTAATGTTAATGATGTTGCAGGTATTCAGACTTTCAATTTTTCCGTTGCTTAATCTCTCAGTCAAATAGTGGATTTTCCTACTTGTTTCTCTAATAAATCAACATTTTATTTGCTCATTACCTCTTCACATAGCTCTTGTCGAGCATCACAACTCTGTCCTCTTGGCAATTCGGATCACGCTGTAGTATTAGTGGAGCAGATTATGCAAACCATCGTGCAAATTGTGAGATAAGTATGAAAGTTGGCATAATTGTCCCTGATAGGTCACTTTTTCAGAAAAAAGTGCTAGCCACGAAAAAATCCAATATGGCCGCCATTTTTCAAGATGGCTGCCAAACGGGCCTCTGTTTCATGCATTTTGCTCAAAAATCATAGTGCAAATTGTGATATAAACATGAAATTTGGCAGGAGTATTCCTTGTAGGTAGGTTATTCAGGTGAAAGTGGTAGCCACAAAAGAATTTCAATATGACAGCCTCTTTTCAAGATGGCCGCTAAACGGGCCTCTGTTTCATAGTTTTACTCAAAAACCATATTACAAATTGTGATATAAACTTGAAATTTGGCAGGAGTGTTCCTTGCAGGTCTGTTTTCAGATAAAAGTTCTGGCATTGTGAAAACTCAACATGGCGGCCATTTTTTCAAGATGGCAGCCAGTGCCTCATAGTGGCAGTTCATTGAGGAGGCAGAAGAGGGCAGTTAATTGATAAGGTCGAGTAGTGGCAGTTCATCCAGGAGACAACATTCAAATTGAAATGTGAGGAGATATGAAGAGAATGTATGTCGCTCAGAGCACACTGGTGACAGACACTGCTGTGGAACTCAGCATGGGGTTCAATGTCAGCTAAACATGGAGTTTAGTATCCCAAATTCTATCTGGTAAGCCCATAATATATTAGATAGACAGGTTGTGCCAACGCGGGAGAGCCGAGCCAAGGATAACAGGGGCTTTTGAATGGTGTACCGATCGCACGTGATTCAAATGGCATTGGATGAACGATCGGACTAGGTGTAGGGCAGTTGCGTGAACCTAGCTGTATCCCATACATCAAAGTGAGCGAACTGTGGTAAAAGGATAAACCCCCGGCCGTTCTTGTCAAATGATGGATAAAGATTCCACATCGAAAACTGATTGGAGCAAATGCTGCCTTTGCCAGCAGGAAAATAGCAAAGAAACACTCATTTCACCTCTTAGTTCATTCCAGAGGAAGCAAGATTATTCTGGATACAGTAATATTGCAAGGAATGTACAATTGTTTTATGCCATCAATGATAGCACTTGACCCTTGATGAAGGTGAAGGTATAGAAACCACTCTGGTTCGAAATGGAGCTAAATATCATCAGAGTTGCCGATTGTTGTTCAACAACACAAAGTTAGAAAGATCACAGCAAAGAAGAGCGGTCCCGAGTACCTCTGGAGCAACAGATGAACTTCGAAGCAAGAGACGAAAATCTGAAGACATTCCAAAAGTGGAATGTTTCTTCTGTGAAGATGTTATTTCGAATCTGCAAGAGGGGATGCCGGAGAGACTAAATGAACACCTCAATCAATGTACCAGAACCCTGAACGATGGAAAGCTCCTTGTAAAGTTGAGTGGCGGAGGTTAAGTACCGCCTTCGATGCCTCCAAAAGTTGTACAATGATGAAAGAACGTACCTCATTTCCCTAGAGAAAGCAGAGAGTAGTGATCCAGGGAAGGATTTATACCCAGTGGCCTTTTCAGAACTAGTTATCTACATCATGGATAGCAAAGTCACCAACACGGAAGCAGCACCGGTTGTATTTCGGCTTGCTGACCTAGCCTCACCCTACAAGCTTCGCTTGGAACAGCTTGGGGTTGATTCCCCGAATGTCCACTCTACCAGGTTGAAGGAACAGCTACTTGCTCGGATTCCAGAACTTGAATCCCATAAGAAGGGACGTTATGTACTCCTTGCCTTCAAAGCGGACATAGGACCAGTGCTCCATGAAGCTAGCCAGTATAGCAATGCTCTCCATCTATCTAAGGCAGCAAATATCCTGAGAAAAGAAATGCTCCAGCACAAGACAAAATTCAGCAGCGAGCTCAAAGATGGCTTTGGTGAGGAGGCTATCCCACCTGCACTTCTTCAGTTCGTGTGCAGCATTGAACATGGTGTTGATATAAAATCACATCTGATGCACGGAATAGCGAAGTCAGACTTAGCTATTGCTCAGCTTTTACAGTTCAACTGCTACTCAAAACGTAGAGAAGGATTGACAACCCAAATACATTCTAAAGACCGTGAGACCCCTTTTGCTGTCTATGTTGGGTTGAAGATGTACGCCAAGACACGAAAAAGAGAGTTGATTGACAAATTCCATGAGCATGGACTAAGCATATCGTATGACAGGGTATTAGAGATATCCGGCAAGCTTGGTGAAACTGTGATAAAACAGTATGACGAAGAAGATGTTGTGTGCCCAACAGTACTGCGTAAAGGGCTGTTCACTACGGCAGCTGTCGACAACATTGATCACAATCCCACGGCCACCACAGCTAGCACGTCATTCCATGATAAAAGTATTTCCATGTTCCAGCGCCCAAGTAAGGAAAACAGAGAACAGCGGGTTTCACTGAAAATAACAGACAGTAGGACAAGAAAGGTTCCTGAGTTTCCAGAGCATTATACAAACATCGCGCCAGCCTACTTCAAGAAGAACCCAACCCCAGCTTCAGTAGATGAAGTATCACTGCCTGAATCCAGTCTCTTCCAAAGGATCCTAAGAGCCGAATTCGAATGGTTGGAAAAAGTTCAAGATACCACCGATGTAGATGATGAATCCAATATAACATGGTCAGCTCATGCGAACCAGAATCGGACTAGCGAATGTGAAACCAGCATCACTTCCTTGCTACCTCTTCTCCGAGATCAAGCTCACAGCGTTGCCACAATAAAGCATGCCATGAAGAAAGTAAGGGAAGCTGTAGCATTTCTTAACCCAGGGCAAACTCCCGTCCTGGAAGCTGATCAACCACTTTATGTCATGGCAAAATAAATACAGTGGTACTGGCTAGAGGAATATGGAGAAGACAAGTTTGTGATCATGTTTGGTGGGCTGCACATTGAGATGACAGCACTGAAGTCTATTGGATCGATGCGAGCAGACTGTGGAAGGACAAATGCATTTGCTGAAGTTGATGTAGCCTCTTCCGGTACTGCAGATTCATTCCTGTCGGCAACCAATGTCACTAAAACACGTCAAGCACATCAGGTCACAGAATGCAGTTTGTTTCAGCTCCTGAAGAAAGTCTACAGTTCGTACCTTGCCGAACATTCTGATGGCGATGAGGAAGCCTCTAGCTTTGTGGAATGGTGGGATAGTCGAAAGAAGGAGAGTGCACAGTTCGCATTTTGGTTCTCTATCCTAAACATGGAATTGACAATCTTAACACTGGTGCGAGCATTTAGAGAAGGGAATTTCAATCTGTATCGAGAATCACTGTCGGAACTGATACCCTACCTCTTTGCCAACAACAATGCCAACTATGCAAGATGGCTTCCTATTCATCTGCGTGATATGATATCATTAGAGAAGCAGTACTCCGAGGTCGCCAGAGAATTCCACAATGGGAATTTCGTGGTTCATAAAACTGACAGGAAGTTCTCCGCAATGGCAATCGACCAAGCCCATGAACAAAACAATGCCGTCATCAAAGGGGATGGTGGAGCTGTTGGTCTGACAGAGGATCCATCAGCTCTTCGGAGGTGGATGGTGGCTGGTCCAGAAATTAGCAAATTCGTTGCTGACTATGAAGCCGTATCAGGAAGCAAAGAGGCGAAGAAAGGAAGTCATCACCATGAGCAGTCGCCAACTGCTCAGACGGCATTCTTTGAAAAGGTTCAGCGGCTTACAAGTGTGATAGAAGAAATGGGCAATCCATTTTCGGAGGAGTCCACTGATCTACTGTCGCTTGACACAAAGGACATTGCTGATCCTATAGCAACGCTGCTCGTTGCATCTCATCTGGAGGAAGGGAAAGAGCAATTCCAAACCTTCCATAAACATAAAGTCAGTCAGCATTTCTATCAGCCAATTAAACGGAATAATAAAGACTTCTTCAAAACAAGCACAGATCCAACAGAAAAATCAGAGACACAGCTACTAAAGGAGGATTGTCAACTGTTCTCCCGCCTTTTCATCTCCTGCCAAAGCAGAGGGTGTGATTTACCAGAGTTTTTCAAACATGAGAACCAATCTTTCCCTCCGCCACTCAGCAAGCGAGGCAAACTACATGTTGCTACCAAGTCTGATCTCGTGGACGTCCTGCAAACCAAGGTGGAGCTTCCAGACACGAAGCCAGAAACTGACGTACTGATAGTAGATGGTGCATTTCTAGTCAATACAGTAACGCCGAGGACACCGAAGACGTTTGAAGAATATGCCAGACAGGATATTCTTCCTAAGGTGCAATACTACAGTAACAATTACAAGAGGACATATATCATTTTTGATGTCTATCACGAGTCTAGTCTGAAGTTTGAAGCACGATCAAAACGCGGGAAAGCTATCAGGAGGAGAGTAACGGCAAAGAGCAAAACACCGACTAATTAGAAGAGCTTTCTAAGGGACAGCACCAACAAAACAGAACTGTTGAATTTCCTTGCTGACGAAGTGGGTAAAATGACCACAACGAATGAAGTAATTGTAACACAAGAGGAAAATGCTCTACCAAGTTCCAGCCATCCTGATACTAAGATAGACGAATTGGCTCCTTGCATACATGAAGAGACAGATACCCGGATATTTTTGCATGCCTGGAATGCGGCTAAGGATGGACACAAGTCTCTCATGATTGAAGCTAATGACACGGACATTGTAGTCATAGGCTTAAGCCTGATGTCTTCTTTCACTGCAATGGGCATGGATAAAATGTGGATCGCCTATGGCAAGGGGGAATACACTCGATGGATCCCAATACACGACCTTGCATCTTCTTTGGGACCGGAAAAAACCGAAGGGATACTATTCTTCCATGCTTTTTCCCGATGTGATGTGGTATCTGGATTCAGTGGCAAAGGGGGAAAAAATCATGGCAGACATGGAATGTTTGCAACGATGCCTCGGCTACATTTGCAAAACTCAGTCACTGTCATCCTGAAATTAATGAGTCTGATCTACAAGTTCTAGGGAGATTTGTTGTTCTGATGTACGACCGGTCAAGTTCTGCTACTACAGTAGATGAAACAAGGTTAGATGTCTTTGCCAGGAAGCAGAGGTCATACGAATTAATCCCGCCAACACAAGGGGCGCTAAAGGAACATGCCAAACATGCTGCCTTCCAAGCAGGACATATCTGGGTGCAGTCCGTCGTTCGTGATCCAGAGCTTCCGTGTTCTTCCAAGTGGGGATGGTTGAAAGACGGTAGCAAATGAAAAGATGCCTGGACTTCCTTGGCACCAATTTCTAAAAGCTGTCGTTAATTGACAAAGTGCGGATGTAAGATAAAATGTGGCGGAGGACGATGCAAGTGCTCAAAGGTTGGAACAGGCTGTATTCCGCTTTGCAGTTGCCCTTGTGAGATTTAGTAAACAACAACGAATGAACTTCGACATTTGTCGCCGGTTCTTGGAAGGTTATCCTATTGAAATTCAAATGCAGAGAGTTGTAAGGATATATATGACCTGTAGATATTTTCCCAGATATGGACAATTTCCATGCTGGGTATTAGCACAGAAAATAATTTTGACGTTGAATTGGACATTTCATCAGGATTGTAAATGTCGACTTTAAATCATTTCATATAATTATCCACCGTAGGGTATGGGCGCTATATCATGCCAAATCAATTGAAACAGTGCAATCATTGAGTTCTCTCACTCAGATTTAGAATTGATACGGCAATAAATAAAAAATATTTCATCAAATACAACTAATTTAATGATTTCAGATCAAAATCATAAAACAGAGGCCCGTTTGGCAGCCATCTTGAAAAAGTGGCCACCATATTGTTTTTTTTTGTTTTTTTTCTTGGCTAGCACTTTTTTTCTGAATAAGTGACCGATCAGAAATACTCATGCCAAATGCTTATCTCACAATTTGCACGATTCTACCCAAAATTTACATTTTCCTGCTCCACTATATCTATTGATATTTCATTTGAGTCATGTATTAGAATGGAACTTCCTGTTCACAAGACTTCCTTTTGTTACTGACTCGGACTCACTCTGTGACTTTATTCAAGATGCCCTCTTATTCTTAATCTTCCTATTGAGAATTATGTCACAGAGATAAACCTTGAGTTAAAGCTGGCATTGTTGCGTTTGTACCGTCTCGCAAAGGTCAGGTGAAACCACAATCTTCTCCTTGGTTCACACCAGCTTGTTCAGCATCTATAGCCCATAAAAATCCCCTTTTCCTGTGTTATAATTTCACTTACAACAGACGCCTATTTGTGACTGCTCGAAATAATTGTAAATATGTCTTCGAAGAGGCTAAGTCTTTATTTACACAATGATTTACCGTATAGTTTCTAACATGTTTGTCTCACGTGACTACTGGCGGTTCTGTAGTAGTGTGTTAAATAAGAGTAAGTCTTCTATCCTTGATCTCTTCACTCTAGGTGTTAACTTTAGCTGATAAAGCAGAATATTTTACTCGTAAATTCTCTTCAAATTCTACTCTTGACTGTATTTTTGCCCCGATTTTCCACAGTCTCTATTGAATGATATGCATATAATTCCCTCCATGGTTTCTGCTATCATTTCTAAACTGAATCCTCACAAAGTATGTTGACTTGATGGTATCCCTACAATAGTCCTTAAGTAATATGCTCCTAAACGGTTTCCTGCTTTTTTAACTCTACAATAAACGCTTTTTTGCTTCTTGCTTTCCTGCTTGTTGGAAATCCACTTTTGTAGTTCCAATATTTAAGAACACAGGTGAACCATCTGATCCTTTCAACTGTCAGCCTATCAGCCTTCTACCTCTTTCTGGCAAAGTACTAGATTCTCTAATTAATTCGGAATTGTATCTCACTTCGCAGGTTCTTCTTTCAGAGAAGCATTATGGCTTTCACTTCTCTAGTTTAACTGCTACTATATTAAAGATTATTACTGAAAGAGTCTATCAAGCTTTAAATATGAATGGTGAAGCCCGGGCTTTGGATATTTCGAAGAGTTTTGCTTACTGGTCTTCTTCACAAGTTGAAAGGTTATGGTATTTCTGGACAAATCTTTGAACAAATTTTTCAAGTAGCGTAATGAAGGTTGTCTTGAATGACCACTCTTCTAGATCTTTTTGCATTAATGCAGGTGTTCCTCAGGAATCTATCGTCGGACAAAAGTTGTTCCTAATCTGCATCAACGACGTTTCCGATTTCATTAACTCGGTATCTCTGCAAATGGCACAAATATTTACACGTGTCTTACTAGTAAGTCTGATCAATTCGATGAGCTCAAATTGGCAGCTGGTCTTAAAAACAAACTACAATCTGTTGTCAACTGGGGCAATGAATGGCCTGTTAATTTTAACGTCTTCAGAGGAAACTACTCTTTTTTTTAATCGTCTGAGATAACGACCTTTTTAGATTGACTGCAAAGTCTCATCATTTTACAGTTGAAATGGATAGATGTAACAACAGTTCAATCCTAACAGTTTTTTCTTCCTCGCACTTCTCGCTTGCGGAACTCTCTTCCGGTTTCTTGCTTCCTAGTCAAAATTTAAATGCAGTGTCAATGGTTATTTTCTGTTTTCTAAATTCCTTATATATATATATATATATATATATATATATATATATATATATATATATATTCTTATATTGTTATCTCCCTTAATACTATTTTTTTTACTAATAATCTCTAACACCCAGTAATCCCTCCCGTCTTAGTGGTTTTATTGCCTTGCTTGGTGTGAAATGATTAAAAAATTAATAATAAAGGCATTCAGAAATGTATTTATCCATTTCTTATAACCTCATCTATGAAATAAATGGTAGAGTAGTTTAGATCCTGCTTTTTGGCAGTAAAGGATATCTCAGAATTCCATCTACCAAAATGTAATCAGCCAACATCGTAGGGTAAAGCCAATTACTTACTGCTTATTTCTGATAGGCTTGGGGAAAATAATGGATGATATAAATAATATAAAACAGATAGATAGATAGATAGATAGATAGATAGATAGATACTGTGTATATGTGTAGATTCTTCATAGTAATGTCTCTATTTTATCCTGATTCTCATTCATACACATTCATATCGACAAAATAACTCCATAGTTAATTCAGGGTAATGATTATCTCACTGCCATACTCACTATCTACAAATCGTATTGAATTTGATCCACTGCAAGAATCGAGGCATTTTTAATATATCTCATGTTATTCCAAAATGATTAATAAATATAAAGTAATACGATCATATATTTCATAACTTCTCTACCACTCTGTTTTATAAGTGACCAAATTACCAACAAAGAATTTAAATATCAATTTACAAAACTATTTGAGAATTTTGCTAAGAGGATTATCTTTTATTTGGCATAACTGGGGGGGGGTAAGTAATCATGGTTCTGCATCGTTTCCATTTTCTTACATAAATTTTTGAAAAATATAATGGACCTCCATTGGCCAGAATTTTGAAGTAAAACAAAAAAGTCACAACCAACAATAAATAATTCCACAGTTTTATTTTCATTTCTTTATTTTATTTATATATATATATATATATATATATATATATATATAAACCATTTACCCAAACCAGAGGATAATTTTTTTTTTTTTTGCAAATACATACATGTATTTTATATATCCGGACAATTAATTAAAAAAAAATAGTTCTTTAAAATAACATGAAAAAAGTTGTTTTAAGATTTTTCTTCAGTGGTCATGAAAAGATCCTTTCAATATATTTCCATAAAATTCTTTTGAGATGTTTTTAAACATTTTCTTATGAATTACCAATTTAATGCTAACCTTTCTCTTTATTATCCATGTGCTCCTAATATCCTTCCACAAGTAATGTTATATTTTTAAACATTTCTCATATGTGTACCGACCACAATTTTCTTCTTACAAATATATGTACACATAAAATGCAATTGTAAGGAAGGATTTACATATTTATATAACACATGCATATTTGTATGCATGTAGTATTATACATACATATGTACTTAAAATGCAAGAAATCAAATTTTTGAAGCAAAGATAACAAATAAGAATAATCTATAAAATAAATAATTTAAAAATTGGAATTTTTTTTTTTTTTATTTTCAGCTGATGAGTGAATATTTTGGGAGCAAGATATAACTGTCCCATGGCACTTTAAGTCAGTTTCATTTTGTGAATTTTAAAATTCACTATGGATGAGATGATGCTGCTTTTTATGATGCTTTTTGCTTTCTCTTTTTTTTTTTTTTCCTTTTTTTTTGCTCAACTTTTAAATTAAAGAAAATGTTCATTTTACAGCAACAACATGGAAAAAAATTGAAGAATTGGCATTTGAAAATTTAATTCATACCAGTCTCATAAATTGTTAATTTTGCCAATACAATATTCGGGAGATAGGCAAGTAAATAATTTTTTTTTTTTTTTGTTTTAGCTGCTGATTATTTTCTTTTAATTGGACAATTTGACAGTTTTTTGTCTTGTTTGTTTGTTTTTTACAGTCAGTAAAATCAGCAGGATTATCAGCAGCAAGAGAAAGAAATAGAAGAACAGAGTCAATAGTAAAAAACAAAAAAGTTCAGAAAAGTTAATACACTAAAACAATCAAGTTGGTATCTGATAATATTAATTATAATAATCTTATTACTGATTATAATAAATATTTGCAGAGAAATAATCAAAAGTGTGAAAAAGAATAACTTAAAACTGTAATGATCAGAGCAATAATTGTAAATACGTTTTCAGTTATATTTAAGGAAAAAATTAAGACTAGATGAGTTTTCTGAAATATAGACATAAGATATGTTCATTATTCCACACATTTTTTAATGAATTCCTTTCATTTTTTTTATTTTTAACAATATTTCGGCTGATATATTCTTTGGACTTCAACTGTACAATGAATGTTTAAATGTCATTTTTTTCATCTTAACTAAAACAGAACAAACAGAAACATAGAATCATATTGTCAACTCATGATAGTAATAACATGAAAACAATTATACCAGAATTAGAGTTATTTTTAACAAAGAATTAATTTTTGTGAATCTGTTCTAGTTAAGGAGTTGAAAAGATCAAAAGGAAAAAGTGGTCTCAAGAACTTGCTTTCTACTCTTTTTTCATATCATTAACTAGTGATCAAGTTTTAGTATACATATATAAATATGTACTTAAAATGCAAGAAATCAAATTTTTCATGTTAGCAATTCAGAAGATTCTACCTATTCTTAAAAGGAAATTTTTCTTTCTTTAATCAATATATATATGACAAGTTTAAGAGATCCTTTCCTAAGAACTAGTCAGTTTGTTTTTATATTCATATTTACAGCTTCTTTCAACTTATTAACTTTTTTATCATCTTTTCTTAGTAGATGCAAATCACTTTTCAAAAATGGGTAGAATAATTATCAGAGGGGTGTTTTCTTTTGTTTTGTTTTCTTTCCATAAAGAAAAATAATCAAAAACATGGCAAAATCATTTTGATTTATAGATATTGTTTCCTTTTGGGAATCTCAAATGCAGGAATATTTCCTCATTCCCCAATTTTTAATGGAAACTCTGTAGTCGACATTAGCAAAAAGATTTGTTTTTTTTTTTTTTCTCCAATTTAAAAGGGTATCCCATATACTTGAGAACAATGAATTTTCCATAATATTATTGTTTTGTATGCAGGAGAGACAGACTATGTAAACTTTGGATGGGATTAGAAAATAAATAGTCAGAAAGACTACATGTTCCAGGATTCACAAAATGTCTAATACTTGATAAAATTTCATTGCACGCCATGTGAATTCACATTTTTGTTTCTTTTTTAATAAACTTTTGTTGCTTGTAGTTTTATCAGTGAGTAATATAAAAAAATCTATTGTTTTACAAAGGCTCAGGGGGATCAAATCAAATAAGTATTTTTCCTCAAAAAAAAAAAAAAAAAAAAGAAGAAGAAAAAAGCATTTACACAAAATTTTTGTTTTGCTGTATTACATACAATACATTAAAAAATAAAGCTAACACACATTTATTCAAAACAATTTTTCTCCAATTAATGCATCATATATTTATGACAACTGGAGGCAAAATATATTCATTCACACATTTAAAAAAAAATGTTACAAAGAACATTGGAGCAGTGATTAGAAACAAAGAAAAACAAGATTAAAAAAAATAATTACAAATTAATAAAGATGTACCAAGTGTTAAAACTTTAAAAACCACTACTATTAGCATTGAATCAATAGTAAATGATTTTAAAATGAAGAAAATTTTAAAAGCAGATAATGGATTTTATTTTCCCTAATAGCAATATGCATATGCCAAAATAGTATTAGACTATGAAGCAGTTAATGTAGTTAATGAATCTTAATTAAACATATTAGTGGAATGAAATAATCATATTCTCTTTGTTTGAATTAAATTGCACTGAAGAAAATAATTAGAGAACCTTGAATAAGCCTTAAGTAATCATCACATATTTTTCTCTCTTCAATTTCCACTTATTTACTTGTCCAAAAACAAAAATATTTGTCTTATACAAGAGATTTTAGTTTTGAAAGGTGGATAAAATGTACACTGTTAAATGACAAATCAAGGGGGCTGTAGTGGGTAAAGACATTTTTCTCATCTGCAGAAAGCTGGAGTTCAGATTAGAGTTTACTAAATTACTAAGGTTAGTTATAGCATGACACAAGGGCAAAAATATAGCACACTCAGTGTGAATTGAATTCACTGCACAAGAAATGAAATATGAAACTAATTTCTTAGCCACTTGTTCATAGTGAGAGACTGTTATTTATTGACTTTAGTCTGGCACAAACCACAAAAAATGGTGTACTCAATGATGTAATTCTATAATTTACATTCCTCACTTGTCAAACAAAAAATACTCATCCAATACAGTAAAAACTTTTAATTTAAAAAAATATACATAATAAAGCAAAACTTATTAATTAGACAATAGTTTAACAACCATAACTAATAAAACAACAATTCTAATAAGATATTGAAATAAGAGTTATCTTAATTTTTTCTTAGCATAGGTCTTAACTGCAACATGTTTTTTTCTTAGCTTATTAAAACTTAGATTTGTATACTTCATTGTCAATTTACTATAACAAATAAATGTTGGTTACTTGACAAACCAGGAACTGGAGACTTTAGAGAGAAAAAATTAGTTAATCAGAAAAACCCAAAGTAAAATGATCAAAACATTAAAAGTGAAGAGAGAATAATTTTTCAAATGATGACAAGACTTCACTTAAAACTTCAGGCAATACATATTTATGCTTGTATAAAAAAAAAAAAAAAAAAAAGGGAAGAAAATACAAATAGTTCCAAATCAATTCGAGATGTTTCTTTTTTTAGATAACAAATCACTATCTATGCATTAATTTGGAAATGGAAACTGAATTCAAAGAAATAGTAAATAATGAGGAAGATCATTCCTTTAAGATATTTTACTTTCATTGTGGGCAAAAGAACACTTCTAAAAAGATGGCTAATCCATTTTCACACCCCTACCTCCAAGTCATTGGTAGAAATATCAATTTTTTGATCAAATTTAAAACTTAAAAAATTACAATGCAAAAAGGTGAAAGTAATAAAAATATTATCCTGAAATGTACTCAAAAAAAAACAAAAAAAAACTTAATGGCCAATGTCATAAATACAAAATATTGGCCAAAATTCTATGATGGACCACTGTCATTGTTCTATCTTCAGCTTTGTTGTTAATTTCAACTGATGCTTTCTTCAGCTGTAGAACACTTTCAAGTAAACATTTCCCCTCCCCCTCTCTCTCTCTCTCTCTCTCTGTGTATCTTGCCACAACAAAAGAATGGAAAGATTAGTTTGTGTTAGAGTTTAAATAAGTTTAAATTTTTAAATCTAATGTTAATCAAATGATAGATAAAAAAGAAATTGTTTTTGTAGTGACTTATTTGAAAATTAAATGCTGAGAAACACTTTATATTTATTGTTGGTTAACTATAAAACAATTCTATTGATACAAGACAGCTACCAA